TGTAAGAAATTATTAAAACCAATAATTTTGTAGATATTTCCGTAAATATCTTAAAAAATAAGGATTGTATCAAAATTTTTTCAAACAAAAGTTGTTTGTTTCTTTATGTAAAATAAAATTCCGTAATAAAAGGTGCATGTTTCTATTTAAAAAACTAAAGTTGACTTTGACCTGATCTTGGCGACGTCACCCAAGGTCAAACTGCTAACATCACTAAATACATCATTTTATAATTTTTTTCTGAAATATTTTTCTCAAAAGTGCATACTTTCCGAGATATTCAGCCGATCCGTGACATATGGGATATCCTGTGTGTGTTTGTGTGTGTATATATATAGTTTTAGATAATTAAGTTTTAGGTAAGTACCCTCACAGCACATTAATATTGCTATAAGGTTATAACAATCTTAAATTGTAAGATGGTAACATTACACGGAGGTAAAAATAAACCTGCCATTAACCTTCTAACGACATGAAAATATTCGTCCATACTTCGTCTCATTCCATTAACGTTACAAAAACCTTGTACAGAACATTGTATTAACGAGCAATTAATAACAAAGTAATTTATATATTTTCAACTAATCAGTTTATGTTGATTTTAAATAAAGTTTAGCTTTTCTATGATTTCTCACTATTTTCACACCTGAAAATTTACTCAATACTGGTCGGACGCGAACTCGAGAATTTCAGATACTTCTAGGTTTCATCTTAGCTGCTGCGCTACTTTTTTAACTGATACTAAATGTTTTGTATTATCCCCAATTGCGCAGTCAAAGCAGTAATTATAATTTCCTTAAAATATTATTAAGTGCAACAACAAAAATAAACTATTTAGTCCAAATATTTGATATAATAAAAAAGAAGTCAGAGATATATGCATAAAATATGTTTGCCTAGATGTTGATCCCTGGTGAAAAAAAGTATATAGAGAACGATAGAATAAAATAATCATTTTCTATCGTTTTGAATATAGATTTTGGTTCGTGAATTTATAAAATGTGAATAATATTCTATCGTATACAATAGAATACAATAGATAGTGATAGAATTTCTATTGTTAATTTCCTATAGAATACAAAATCATGTATAACCTGATAAAATACAATAGAATTTATACCTGAATTTGCGAGCGTGAACGATACGCTAAAGGCTTGTCTACAGTAGCTTTAAGAATATGGCTGTAAGGCTGTAACGTGAGCTGTCAGCGAATGAAAATAATTTATTTCGTGTCTGCAGCCTTACAGTCATATTTTTACAGAAATTGTATACAAACCTTAAAGAAAACGATTCAAGTTGATAACACTATCAAAACGATAGATTACTATTCACCTTTTGTAAATTCATGAACCAAAATCCATATTCAAAACAATAAAAAATGATTATTTTATTCTATCGTTCTCTATTAACTTTTTTTACCAGGAATACTACAAAAACTTTAGAGCGCTGACTGAAAGATGAACATTGGTCTCTACGATTCTTTAAAGCATTTGAAGTGTATAGTGAGGGAGAGAAAATATTACTTAGGATTAATTTTATAAATAATATTTTAATTTAATTAAATTTATTATATTTACTTTCTTAATAAAAAAATTTGTATATATAATTTGTATATTAAGTGATTATTAATAAACTATATTCCAATTGTATATTTTCAGGATACACAAAAAGTGAAATAATTACATATAAATTAGCTGAAATATTAAAGATTATAATAACTTTATGACAATATTATAATGCAAAGTTATCTTGTAAGGTTAATGGAAGATTGCAGTAACATACTCATTAAAATGTGTAAACTACCATAACCTTACTGCAATATTCGGTGCTGTGAGAGTAACTTCTAACTTTTTTTAACTTTTTAACTTTTGACTTAGTATCTTATTTCAGTTAACTTTTAACGTAAACTTAATTATTTTATAGCGGACTAACTTTTAACTTAACTCAATTAAAAACCAAAAGTAACTTACCCAACCCTGATTTACACTAATATCAGGCTTCTTAATCTTCCCCAATTTTGCTTTCCTTCGATATGTCCGAGATAATTTTTTTTGTTCTAAACAACATGCGTGCAAATATTATTTACACAAGAATATATTAAACTTTATTAATTTATATTAAACTTTCATTTAAGCCAAGTTGTTAAAGTTCTTACCATTAAATGGTTTCCCCATTTTCCTTTTTCGTCAATTCTTCAGTTCTATATAATAGGATATGTTCTTTAATTATTGCTATGTATAAATCAAATAAAGCAATGGCAAATTATAAGATGATACTGTGCACATAATAATCGTCTATTCGTAAATATGGATAAACATGCACATTCTCTATTACTTTTTAGGTTGGAATCACATGGTGTGCACAGAGAAAATGATCCTTCCTTCCTTCCTTCAATATTTGGCTAGAGGCCCAGAGAAAATGATAAAATCAAGATAGTAAACTTAATGGCTCCTGCACACAGGACGCGGTAATGCTTACCACGCGGCGGAAATTCGCGCGACAGCCAATCAATATGCTGCTTTCCGTAATAACCTTCTTACGGAAAAACAACATATTGGCTGCATTCAGCAGACTCAACAGTTGCACAACAGTTGAGTAATTTGTCAATGTAATTGGTCTAGATTTAGGGATCTAATAGCAAGAACCAATAATCGTTGATTGCTCACTGAGCGCTTTTTCTACTGAATGCGCCCATTGATTGGCTGTCGCGCGAACTTCCGCTGCGCGGTAAACGTTACCGCGTCCTGTGTGCAGAAGTCATAAAAACTTCAAGACCAATTCTTGAGTGTGCAGGGGGCACAAACTGAAAGAATCTAGACAGAGTGGAACGGATTCGCCGGAAGTTCGCCATTAGTTGGGCAATATTTGGTGACGCGCGAGAAATTTAATTTCCTTATGGCTCCTGCACACAGGACCGTTTATCCGTAAGAGCTAGAAGGTTATTACGGAAAGCAGCATATTGATTGGCTGTCGCACGAACTTGCGCCGCGCGGCAAGCATTACTGCGTCCTCTGTGCAGGGGGTCGATTGCGTATCTCAAAACGGAGTGAAAATGACAAAAGTGAGCAAATTTACTAGAATATTTGTAACTTCATTGGTCAATGTCTAGTGAATTTGCTCACTTTTGTAATTTTCACTCCGTTTCGAAATACACAATCGACCCCCAGGAGCCATTAAACTTCAGAGCAGCGATCATGAAAATCTCTTTTTTATTTTTCACTTTTCACTGGAAGTAAGCTACTATAAGTGAAAAGTGAAACGTGAAAAGTAAATAAGTGAAGAGTAATATTTCAATTATATACATTATTAACATGTAGATGTATTTATAATATATAAAATATAATGTATAATAAACTAATGAACATAAAGCAACTAAAACCCTTATAGAAATATCATACTAAGAATCATGGATTAATTAATTATTTTCAGTATTAAAAGTATAGTTTTTAGTAATATTCTGTGATTCAAATACAGCTTTTAGTACTCAAGTATTTCAATATTTAATGTTACAAATCCTACCTTATGATTAATTTCAATATTTAAATATTGATATATAATACTTCGTCCAGTGATAAAATATTTACGCAGAACATTGTCAATATTTAAATACTAATATATAATACTTTGCTAAGTGATGAAATACTTAGGCAAAGTACTGTTAAGATTAAAAGTATTAACCCAGACAGCATACAATATTAGTAAGTTATTAGATAAATATAAATATTTATTTTGAATTACTTTTTTAAAATATTATATATATATATATATATATATATATATATATATATATATATATATATA